TAGGTCCCAATTTCGCAGCTATGACATCCTGTTGCCTGGTTCAGATATTGACCTCCCCACATCCAGAAAGTTTTATATTTCCTCCCAGATGCGTTTTTTTCTAAATTCTGGGGCCCACTCGCTTCGCTCGCAAGTTTACCTTTTTTCTGTGGCCCACTCGTTTCGCTCGTTATCACTGGACCAATTCACGAGCAGGGACGTAGCCAGGTTTATTCTTTGGGGCGGGGCTGTAGGCAAGCGAAGCGAGCCGACGCATCCAATCCAGCTGCGCAGCAAGCGAAGCGAGCAAGCTGTGGCAGGGGTCCAGGGGCGGAGCCCCTTGGCGGGGGCTAGGGGGGCGCAGCCCCCCGGAAAATTTTTGCGAAATAGGGTGTTTTAGACGACATTTGGCATTAAAGAAATTTTTAGGACAGCAATAAACTGGGATTGAAAAGAATCAAGTACTCACGTAAATTTGGTAACTTCACAACAGCAATCTGCATTCTCCAATCAGAATATTTCACTGTGTTTCAAAACTGACAGGACTAGGATGTTCCTCTTTGATTTTTATACAATCGAAAAATTTTCTTCAAAAATTACCTCAATTAATTTGTCTTTATTCCAAAAAAAAACATTTCGAAATTTAGGAGTAACTTCTCAAAAATTTCCTCTTTTTCCTCCCGTTTTTTCCTCCCAAAAAAAATTCCTCCCAGGCTGCCTGGCAAGATGGCGTGTTTCTGGATGTGGGTTGACCTCCGTTACAGTGATCTGGGAAATAGGAAAGTAAATATTTAAAAGTGAAAATAACCTTAGTGAAGTTTAATCGTCATAAAAGCTGTCCTTGTCTCGAGAAGGATGATAAATTCAGAAATAAGTTTGAAATGTTTCAAACTTTACCCAAACTTTACTTTTACACAAAAATGTTATTTCGTAAGGCGCTGCTCTTATTTCCTTACTGATTATCACTAACCTTCACACCCTACCCCCTCAACTAACAGTTCTTCCTCGTCACATGTCTGGCACGTGTACCATACTTCCAGTTTCTTCCACTGACCATAGCATGGATCACCATAGAATCTATTCGGGTGCGTGTCTAGCGAACATGATCCCTGTGAGAGCAGCAGGTCGTGAGGCTCACCAAACGTTTTACCGTTTTGGGAGTTAGAAGTTCAGAAGAATGTTGATTCGTGAAGAATTTAAAATCAAAACTTTTCACGTCCAGTCCTTGAATTGTCTATGATCTCCTAAATTTCGATGTTTTATGTATCATTACACATTTTCTTTAATGTCTCCAAACCTTATAATCGCAGTGATCCCTAGTTTTAGTAAAAGCATCTGCAAGTGGAGTACATAACGCCCAATTTGGTGCCCAGTATTTTGCGTTCTTTATCTCTAGGTATTCTTCATTATCACACGACAGGCTTAGAAGTAAGTTTTCCCTTTTCTCTTCCCCTGGTGTGGAACAATATTGTAATAGTTGTTTTGTACAGACTACAGTAAATGGATTGTAAAACTTCTGACAGACCTGATGATTTGAAGAGAAAAAAACAGTGTCCCAATTAATCGCGGTTTGAAGTCGTTAAATCGATATTGTTCAAACTGAATGTAAAAGTCCGTCAAATTCCCGATTCCGTTTAAAAACTACTTGAAAAATAATTTCTTTATCATTATTACATCATCATTACACTGATACAGAAGAACTAAAAATTCTCCATATGAATTTCAAAAGCACACAAAATAAATGTACTTATAAAATACATCAAAGAAACGTCTTCCAATAAATTATATAATATGAACTTGAACTTACACAAGCTCTCTGTGTCAGAAGAACTGAAACCAATGCCGGCTAGAATTGTGAGGGTCATCATCATCGTCATCTGCATCTTGACTAACATAACTTCCTTATTTTGTTAAAATTATAGTGACTAAATAACCACATTATACTTATTAGTACAGTATTAGATATTATATTATTAGATAATTATCAGATAATTATCAGATAATTATTAGACAATTATCAGATAATTATTAGACAATTATCAGATAATTATCAGATAATTATCAGATAATTATCAGATAATTATCAGATAATTATCAGATAATTATCAGATAATTAGGCATTATCAGAGATTCATCAGTTTATGGTTGGTCATAGGCTTTTAATTATCGGCATCAAATATTTTATCCGCATAAATAGATACATTTTTTAAACGAATCAAAAATAACAATCTATCGAAAACTGGACCGTGTGAGTCAACTGGTCAAGAATTACTACAGCATTCACAGAGATCCTTTTTACCATGTCTTCTTAGCACGTTACCGTATTTGCCGCACTTGGATCTTCCCATTTGCATTGGTTAATTGTATGCTTTCACACTAACTGATTGATGTCAGTTTGGATAAAAATTTACCATTTACGCCATAAAAGTCTATGCGTTGTTTACTAAAGCATTAAGCATAATTCATATTTGTCACTTCATTCCAAACGTGTAATTAGCATACTTCCAAATTCCAATAAACCCGATTACCTTGAAAGTCGGCATGTAACGTGTTTTTGTTTGGTTGCCTAGCAAAGTGCATCCAGTGCCGAGTAGGATAAGAAGGATAAGTATGCAAATTCCAAAAGCTATAGAAACAAACTTTCTGCTGATGATATAAAGGGTATAAACTATAAAGTTGTGGTACTTTACTACTGGGTAATTCCACGGTAAGGTTCCACTTGGTGAAAATGAAAAATGTTAAGATAGGCACCTAATTTTGGTAAAAATATGTTCATTAGACTCTTAACCTTACAGGTCAACAAAAGTTTTTTGTTTCATATTGCGTTAACTTTTGATTTTTCTCATTCAAAGGAACACTACTCGGAAATGAAAAAAATCATTCAAATTTTCAAAGGGCCATAGTTTGGGTATGCAGCTATATTTCTCTATGAAATTCCATACACTTAGGCATAGGCATAAGAATGAGAGCTATGCATAGTTTCAAACCCGTTACTCAAATACTTTTTCAACAAAATTTCCACAAAATGTCCACAAAGATGGTGTCGCGTCCGTCACAAAATTAAGCAAAAAAGTTTTTTCAGAGCCACATAGTGCTATTTATATTCAAAAAACCACTGTAACCTATCTCTTCTGAAGGTAAGGGAGTACCGTAGAAATTATCAGGCTTGTATCTTTTAAGAAAATATTTGGAAGGGGGGTCCCAACTTGTCACGTCTGTCACATTTTTTTTAAAAATGCTCCAAAAAATCTTTAAACAGACTTTAAATGCATTTTTCTTAAAGCTGAGGCCGTACTCAACAAAACTATGTCATCAAATCGAAAATTGGACAGAAAATGACCGAGTTATGTATAATTTTGTATATGCCCATATATGGGCCTACGGCTCACTTTTAGCCATTTTTATCCATATTTCCATTATTTTGACTAAAACCAAGACAAATAGAATTCAAATAAGGTTGGATTGTGTTGACTATGTTAACTAGACTATCAAATAACATCATATGCAATTCAATAATTAAATTTACTGAGTCTTTGCCATTTTATTTGCTTACAACTTTTTCAGAGGTAAAAGGCACAAAAAATGGACTTTACCCTATTTTCGCATATTTTTGAAGTAAAAATTCAATATCTTCCACATTTTAAACACTAAAGTAATGAAACTTTTAGGAAATCCCTAAACCTTCTTCTATCATTGTAATTCCAAATTAGAGACAATAGATAACTTTTTGAGATAAATTTGGGTACCATCTATATCTGAGTAGACACCAAAAAAAGTGTCATATTTATGTTGCGTTCGTCACAGGGGTGCTATCTCAGAAAGTAATAATGGTAGGGGTCTGAAATTTTCACACAACCTGTAGAAAGGTTAAATGTGGACTAATAAACAGTTGGAACTGATAAATAAACAACATCTCGAGTACAACATTCGTTTGAACTTTAAAAAACAGCAAAATCGTGGTGTCCGTCACGGTGGAATTGCCCTACTAATAACTGTACATGTTAATACCATATAGAAAACCATAGAAGTCTTATGATCGAATGACAGTGGCGTAAATCGTTAAGCAAGACACTAGAACATCATACCTTATAAATGAGGAGCAATTCGATTTCAGCGAATGGTCATTTGTATGCAAAGTGAAGAAGTCAAGGGAGAGTAGAGGGAGTACAAACTAAGTTTTATAGGGGTCAGGCCTGTTCGCCCCCCCCCCCTCCACTCTCACCCCCCCCCCCCCCCCCCCCCCCCCCCAGGCCCTGTTTGCCTATCCTTTAGACCCTTTAGATGGAGAATATTAGCTGGATAGAGCGGGACAACACTAGGACAACAGCTAGAGTTTTATAAGTATGGGATCTCCATGAGGCTTTGGTTGTCCCTGCAATACAGACGAGAATCAGCCGGATTACCTTAACACATACATCGTCATTCAATAAGTGGTAACTGGTGCAGGTGTTCTCTGCTATCCCACTAAACGGTATAATTATGTCCTGTTCCCTTTGTCACAGCTAAACGGTATGATTGCGTCCTGTTCCCTTTGTCACAGCTAAACTGGAAAGCTGTCCTGTTTTACATAACTAAACAACAATCTGATCATATTGAAATTCGCTCGTATAAATTCAGAACTGCGTCTATTCTTCCTTATTGGATCCCTGCTAAGTAGTTAAGAAGAGAAGGAGGACTGCAAGCAAGGAACAATTTTAATGCTAGTGAGCTCATTCCTATAGCCGAATCTATCATCTCTATGTTTAGAAACCTGTCTGTCTGTCTGTCTGTCTGTCTGTCTGTCTGTCTGTCTGTCTGTCTGTCTGTCTGTCTGTCTGTCTGTCTGTCTGTCTGTCTGTCTGTCTGTCTGTCTGTCTGTATGTATGTCTGTATGTCTGTATGTCTGTCTGTAACTCCGTATGTCTGTATCTCTGTATCTATCTCTGTATCTCTGTATGTTACTCTGTCTGTATGTATCTCTATCTGTATCTCTATCTGTCTTGTAGTTACTAATTAAACCTAACATTTATCCGCCTCCCCAGTGATAGAGCAGCTGCACCATGATCTGAGGTACCAGTTCCAGTTCATGCACGATCTCGACTCATCAGTTCATCAGGAAACAGGTACCAATGGAGGGAGCAGTAATGATACTAAACAGAAAGCTAACTTACTTAACTTACTTAACTTGCTTAACTTCCTTAACTTGCTTAACTTACTTAACTTACTTAACTTACTTAACTCACTTGACTTACTTAACTTACGTAACTTACTTAACTTACTTAACTTACTTAACTTACTTAACTTACTTAACTTACTTAACTTACTTAACTTACTTAACTTACTTAACTTACTTAAATTACTTAACTTGCTTAACTTGCTTAACTTGCTTAACTTGCTTAACTTGCTTAACTTGCTTAACTTGCTTAACTTACTGAACTTACTTAACTTACTTAACTTACTTAAGGGGGGGGGTTCACCCTGATTTTTTTGTAAAACTTGGTTTCGAGATAGCAGTTGACCAACAAACTAGGACCAGTGACCAAACTTTTGAGGGGGTCCCGGACCCCAACCGCCAAACGGTGCCCGCGGGGCAGCCACGCCCATATTTTGTCCAAATCAGGCCCAATTTAGCCAAATACCCTGAACATGCCCAAAACCCAGATTTTAGGTGCTTTACTTGTAGCTAGTGGTCCCCTGAACTCGTATATGAAGTTTTATTAACACCCTACGCGCGTGGGATGGACTCCTGGGGTGGACTTTTATTCAGCGCGTATTTTGTAGCCTGTTCAACTTGACGTTTTGATTCGTTACTATCTCAATGTCACAGATACACGGAATGTGAGGTGATCATCTTAAAGAGAAACGTCTCAGCTTTCACCTGGTGTAAAGTTTATATTTTTACTCAAAATATAGCTCGCTCAGTGTGCAATAGAAGTTGACAATACAATAACCACGTCCGCGACCGGTCGTCAGATACCGGAGTGTTGCACAAAATTGGGTCCCTAAATTAAAATTCTAGAACATTTTTTTTTTTTTTAGAACATTTGAATATAATTTGAAACATTACAGAAATGTTGTACAAATCGCTCAAACACACACACTCGGTTTTAATTCGGTAAAATTCCATTCGAAAATTAAATGATTCTCAAAATGTAGGTGTCTAATGAAAATATGATACTGTGTGACAAAGTTAAGTATGTCGTAGTGAAATAGAGTTAACTGTCGATAAATTCATGTGAGGTACTATCGAAGTTCAAAATGTTGTGATGGGTGACATGATAATGACTGATAAGAAAAAGTTTTCATGTCAACTGTGCCAAATCCATAACAGTGTGATGACTGTCAAAGTGTCTACCACTAGGTACTTGGACGAACAAGTGTACCCGAGGTGTTCTGAGAGAATAAGGGGACAGGCTCGGGAACACGAACGCGCGCTAGTCGCTAGGGCAAAAAAGTGAAATGCACAGTAAGCAAGTTAAAAAACGGAAAATTAAAATGCCGTTTGGGCCAAATGCAGTGAGCCAGTAAGGTACGATTGTAGGAGCAAGTGGCTCTGAATACTAAAACTGATGAGGCTGATGCTGAAAATGAAGACTGAAAGAGGGGGAAGCAAAGGGGAAGGACAGGATGCAGGGGGACAAGAAAAAAAGAAACAAGAGTGGAGACAAACCACCTGCTGAGGTCTGGCTAAAATCAGAATGCAGTGAGCGGCCCATGTAACATAATCGTCCGTGGCAGTCTACCCCGTACGCAGACTACGGTCCAAGATTTCAGGCGCCAGAATACACCTTTTGGTGCAGTGCTGGTCACGACCAGGGTCCTCTCGGATACCCCGTCTCGGAGGTCGGGCCAATGGAGCGATCCATTGCTGTACTGACAACCATTGTAACCCTATCACTCTGAAGGCCCCACAGTTCCTACATGGACACAGTTCCCATGTAGGGACGGAAAGTCCCAAGAGTCGCTCATAGCATCCGTCACAGATCCAAAGCAAGAGGAGAAGGAAAGGAAGAACGAGAAAAGCAAAAAAGAGCTGAAGGACTACTTTCCATCTTCATCACGAAGGCTGTCTTTGTGCTTGAGGTTCAGACTGTACATTTCTCTGATGGTTGAGCATGAAAGTCTAATCAAGTTCACATCCTGCTCGTTAAGGTTACCGTAAAGATCTTGGGTACGAGAGAGAGTGTTGACAATGTTGGTCAGTCCGTTGTCATTGCTGTTTCCCAAGCTTTCACTAGCTCTGGTAAACTTGTCTCTGATAGCCTTCCCTTGTGGGCAGGAAGTGAGAAAGTGTGTTTCATCCTCTATGATCCCGGTTGATCCTTTCAGTTCACAAAAGGTGCAAGTTCTGCTCTCTAGAGGTGTGTTTTCGTATCTCCCAATTTCTATGCTGAGTCTGTGAGAACTGCACCTTATTTGAGCTGTTGATCTTCTGTCATCGAGAGTTCTTGCATAATCTAGGTAAGGCTCCCATGCAAAGACTGTTTTGACGTCCTTGTAGAAAGTGAGTTTCCTGCTCTCGTTAATCTTTGATCTCCAGGAGTCTGTAAACAGCTTTTGAAAGTTATTAACCAGCTCGTCTGGACTGCAAGCGTCTGCAAACGCAGTTGCATTGAGTAAAAGCGAAGAGTTCCTTGCATATGTTCTAGGATCAATGTTGTTGAAGCACTTGATGATGTTTTCTATTCCAGAGTACCACGAAAGATGCAAGTTTACTTGCTCAGTCATAGCAGCCTTCACCAGTTGAGACGATGGAAGACACATTATCCTTTTGAAGTATTTGACACTTAGTTTTAATACTTCGATCAGTAGTGGGTACGAACCTGTCTCACCCCATGCAGTTGCATTGGTAGCCCGTCTGTTTATCCCAAGGAGGAACTTCAGGTGACGTAGGTGAACCTGCTCGATTTGTTGCTTTGCCATGTGGGTCATTGAGTTGTTCAAGTTTTGATCCCTCATGAGGCACGAAAGAACTTTTGTTACCTCTGGAAGAGTGGGTGCCCAGACTTGGCAGCCGTACAGTAAGATGGGCTTAACCAGTGAGTTGAAAAGCTTGTGGAAGCATGAGGCGTCAACAAATCTGCGATCGATTGTGCTTCTGAGGCTGAAATATGCTCCAAGCCCTTTGCGGTAAAGAGAATCAGTGGCTTGTCGGAATTTACCATTGCTACTGATAAGAATACCAAGATAGCAGTAGTGGGAGACCATCTCGATGTCGTTGCCATGTGCTTTGGGACGCCAACTAGGGGTATCCGGAGCTTTACTGTTGAAAACCATAAACTTGGTTTTGGATATATTGATTTCCAGTCCCCAGTTATCGCAGTACGTCGTGATGATCGTGATTAGCTTTTGCAGTGATTCTTGGTCAAGGGCAAGAATGACTAAATCATCAGCCCAGGCTAGATGAGTTACTGAAAGTCCTGCAAGCATGGGGCAGTTGGCTAGGGCTTCGTTGAGGAGATCAGAGAGCTCTTTGAAGTACACCTTGAACAATTCTGGACTAAGAGGGTGACCTTGCTCTGTCCCTTTCAGGATACTGAAGGCTTCACTGATTTTGCCATTGATCTTTATATGTCCTTCCGACTTGCTGTACATGTCTTTGATGATGTTGTAGAACCCACCATTAACACCATAACATGATAGTTTAAATAGGAGGGCCTGTCGACATACAAGGTCAAAGGCTTTACGAAGGTCAATGAATATAGCAAAGACCTTCTGTTTCACTCTCTTGTACTTCTCAATGATCGACATCAGAGTGAAAATGTGATCATTACACTGGCTCCCTTTGGTGAATCCAGCTTGATTGGGGGGATCTGAATGTGTCGTTTGCCGGTGTGTGACAAGTCTCGATAGCAGCATTGTTGACAATAGCTTGCCAATGCAGCTGCAGACTGCAATAGCTCTGTAGTTATCGGGGTTTCTAATGCAGCCTTTCTTGTGTAACGGCGGGCAACTTGTACGAACACCGATGGGACATTAAGACAACATTAAGACAACATTAAGACAACATTAAGACAACATTAAGACAACAATAAGACAACGTTAACGCAACAAACACCAATAAGACAACAAACGATAAGACAACATTAAGACAACATTAAGGCAACATTAGGGCAACATTAAAGCAAACATTAAGACAACATTAAGACAACATTAAGGCAACAATAAGACAACAATAAGACAACAATAAGACAACAATAAGACAAGATTAAGACAACAAACACCGATAAGACAACAAAATAGGATAAAATATTAAGACAACATTAAGACAACATTAAGACAACATTAAGACAACAAACTCAATTAAGACAACAGCGATACGGACTGACAAGAGACAACGCCTCCGTGAGGAAAGCCTTCAACCAAGATATCCCAGCCCTATTCAGAAGAATTTTTGATTAATTTATTGCTCTGTAAATTTGTATTACCTGATAAATAATGAAACCTAATTATTTCATTTTCAGAGTTTAAGTCACAATTTCGTATTACTCTAACTCAGTTGATGAAGTAAAATATAATTTGACAAAGTAAAATATATTCGAAGAAATAGTGTTATACTGTTATACATAATTTGTTGTCTTAAACGAATTTGTTGCTTTAATGTTGCCTTAAGGGGGCATACACCAAATCTGTCCAGACCAAATGACCTCATAGGCAGTTCAGTGACCTTCTAGCGCACCGTTTCCACACCAAAAAAAATTATTTTGAGAATTCCCATTTTTGTAATCGAGCATTTCCTGGTTAAGAGTGCAATTTTCGGAAAAAATTATTTTGTGGTTGAAACGCTATAAGTTAATCATTTCTTGCGGTATCGGGTTGAAATTTTGCTCGCCGTTTATTCACATCTATTTCAAGGTGTGTGTAAAATCTTGATATCGTATCTAAAAAGGCTGGTGTGTTATGAATTTTTAAAGTCAAAAAGCTAAAATTGTCCTTTTCAGGCTTATTTTAACAAAAAGTCAGTCAGGGAAGATCGGATTTTTTGATGCTTGACATCAAATTGTTCTCTGAATTCTGGCGCAGTTTTTGATGCCCTCAAAAATGTTTTTACTCATTCACCTTCTGATCTATTGGACCTCAAAGCCAAACAACAAATTTAGGCACATTTTTCGTTTTTAATATTTACTGATTTTTCTAAAATTTTGATAGGAATGTGCTAGTGACTTTTTGAAGGGTGCAAAATAACTGCAACTAGCACATTTATATATGAGTTATGAACAACAAAACACCCTAAAATGCTTCCCTTTGAAGTTATGGGAGAAAATGTGATTTTTTATCTGCAAAGCCAAAAATGTCTTAATGTTGTCTTAATGTCCCATCGGTGTTCGTACAAGTTGCCTAACGGCGTTATCACGCTTTTACTCCAAAGATACACACCTGTGGTCAAACAGAGATTGAAAAGTTTAAGAAGTAGATTTCTCATGTTCTCGTTCAGGCTTTTGATCATCTCGTTACTGACATGGTCAAAGGATGACGCTTTGCCAGTCTTCAGACTGTTGATGGCACCGTTCAGCTCTTCAATGGTGAAAGGGCTGTTCAAAGCTTCGTTTGGCACGGATCCTTTAGCAAACGTGTCAGCTTCTTCAAGAAGGGCTTTCTTAGTAAGACTGTCAACAGTTGGGTGGGAGTCGGAGTAAAGATCAGCATAGAAATTCTGAAAGGTTTGGAGCTGTTCGGGATCGGTTTGAACCTCATCTTTCTTAAAGTTCTTTAATTTCTTGAAATCCCGCCAAGAGATAGCTTTACCATTCTTGATTTTTTTGTTCAGTCTTTTGAAAAAGTCATCCTTCTTCTTATTGATGATCTTCCTGTAACTTTTCGAGTTGGCACGGTGTCGGGTTTTGATCCTTTGACTGTCGGGGTTGTCGCCGACAACTTTGATTGACCGCTTGAAGAGTCGCCTGGCTGCATGGCAATGACCATCAAACCAAGAATCGAACTTTGGTTTAGGATGCTTTGCTTGCTTAGAGACACCGAGTTCTCTTTTTGCCAGGCAATTGATGAGATCAGTTATCTTGTCACTCAGTTCTTTCACCCCTTGCTGGGTTGTCGGGATAGCGTCAGCAGCATTGTGCAAGTTCGAGATTCTGTTGACTATATCTGGCTCCTCGAACGACTGGGCGAAGTTGAGTAAACTGTTGTCTGAGACCTTGTATCGGAATGGAGCGTCATCATAACGGAGGGTGGGATCTCCAGGTGTTTGAGTGTTCATCACCGAATGCTGCTTCCGCAAGCTGAGAAGAACTGGGTTGTGGTCCGAGTACAAGGTGTGCTCACCGACTGTCAGACTTCTCACTCTATGAAGGAAGTTGGAAGATGCTATGAAATAGTCCACTACGCTGTTGCCATTCCACTTGAAGCAGGTGTACTTTCCAGTGGAGTCCCCAATGGTACGTCCATTCAGGATGAGTAGGTTTTCTGATCCGCAAAGGTCAAGAAGTTGCTTCTTATGACTATTAGTGCACTTGTCTTCACTCCATCTGCTCTTTGATATTGGTGCAGAATCAGGAACTATCATGGCCTGGGAAGTTCGGCCTGTTTCTGGGAATAGCTCGAATTCTTCAGCTCTGTCGTACAACAGCAGCTTGGTTGACGAGCCTATTCTGGCGTTGAGATCACCAACAAGAAGAAGTTCATCCTCGGGGGTCTCGCGGAGATTGCTAATTTCTGCTTGGAGAGCTTCAAAATTGGCCTCGGAGTTGTTAAACCGACTCTTCTTCGAGCTGTTTGCTGGTGGTATGTAACTGTTCACCAGAAAGGTGTTAGTTTTAGTTCCTGGGTTCGTGAATTTGACAATAGTCATATTCATAGAGAGATCTTTAGTTAGATTGGTGTCAACAGCTGAGCAGTACTTCAATATCGAGTTTTTCACCAATGTGGTGACACCACCACCTCTCCCAGTCTTGCGTGTGTTGTTGTATGATTTGTATCCTTTCAGAGACACTTCACATCCAGTTTCTTGAAGGCAGATAACGTCGTGAGGTGTGATAAAATCGAGAAAGTCTGGATCTTCTGTCTTGTTACCAAGCAGGCCATGGATGTTTGCTACGTTCCAGGAGATAATAGAGTTAGCAAAGTCCATGATGAGGAAAGTTCAGAGAGGGACCTGGAGAGAAAAGAAAAGAAGGTGAAAAGATGAAGAAAAGAAAAAGGACTAACGAGAGCCTCTGGTGAAAGTGTTGTCGAGGCTGGTCCTGAAGTTGCCCATAATTACCCTGATACCCCTGTCGTTGAGCTGAGATTGGTTTGAGGTCAACATGTAATTGTGAGGAAGTTTCGAATCTTCAGGAAAGAAGTTGGAGTTCTTGTTCTCCCGAGTTCTAGTCCAGAAGTCTGCTTTGTCTCTCTATGACACAGTTACCATGCAGAAATGTCTGGAGTAACATTTGGTGAAAAATTGACAGTCTGCTTTGTCTCTCTATGACACAGTTACCATGCAGAAATGTCTGGAGTAACATTTGGTGAAAATTTGAAGGGTCTACTGTTAATATTGCAAAAGTTATTGAAAACAAACTAGCTTAATCAGAAGTTTTTGGGAAAATTTCAAATTTTGTACGTAGTGGGGTCTACTGGGGTGGACTCTCGCGACGCGCATCTGATGGCGTGGCTTTTTCAACAGCAGTCAGTACGGCCAATATCAGAGCACAAATTATTGTGAGTAAGACCTTAATGGTCAGCTATGAACCCCTCACTAGAATAGTAACCGTATCTAAAAACAAGGAAATGTTATTCCGTCAAAGCTCAAATTTTTTACTCTTCTCAGTGCAGTTACTATGAATGTACTAGCTAAGTATCGTTGATCGTAGCTGCATTACACAGTAGAAGGTAACCAAGGAAGACTGCTGATTAACGAAGCAATTTCAACGTGAACAGTTCCAAAATACATAATCATGGCGACGATAGTTCAACTTGAACCTTTATAGTTTTTACAGTCTAAGATCACAATAAAATCACGTGAACTGCAAATCACAAAATCAAATCACTCAAATCTGATACAGTCCACGTCCCGTTACAGTACGCTTTCGTGACAACCTCAACGCTTAAAAAATAAATATTCTGCAGTCTTGTGACCACCGATGGCCCTAACTCTCCCTTGTCCGCGAGGAGCATCGTTGCGACCATGGGTTTCAGTTCTTTGTTCTTCCCACTCGGCTTCGATAGATCGAATTGGCTGGAAGTCAATCTATCAGAAAGACCTTTGTCGATCTCAGGGGCGTGGTAAATTGTGGATGTCGGAGTATAAAGCTTCCTGAAAAGATTGAGACATTCACTCGGTCTGTTGTAAATATCGAATAGTCCTTGTAGGCAGAGATTTAATTTATGTTGGGTTTGATAACTAGAGAAGGCGATTTGATATTCATTGATAGTATAAGAGTATAAGCATATAAGCATAAGTGATAAGTTTATATACCCTTTTTATGGTACCTCGATATCAGTATTGAGTAATCATCACTCAAAATCTACTTATTAAATTTATTAACTAAACAAGTTAATGTATTACCGTCCTAGAGAGGTTTTCCTGAGAATTTGAAGTCTCTGTAGGTTGCTGACATGCCTACTAAGCTCTTCGATTGAGGAGTTTTGGACCCCGCGGCGGTCCAAATGATTTATAATGCTGTGGGCATTTTCAACATCTATCGAGCTAAACGCCCTCGCAGCATAACCTGTAGAGAATGAACATGTCATCAATGCAAAGTTCAATGATAAAAATCAGAGTGGCCGATTTCAACGGGTAGAATTCGAATATCATGGCCTTGGGGAATGGACTATTTTTTGTCGATTTTACTAACCAAACTGGCAAACGATTGTTGATTTTCGTCACTAGTCTAAAATGAAAGCAAACGTTCGGCCGAACATTTACATGATTAAAAACTTACCGGTTTCTTTCGTTATTATGTACAGACATAGCCGGGCTTGGGTTCCGCATACGATATCTTCTATCAGATTAAAGTTGAACCCACACTTTGTACTGCTCGTGGGAGGAGGAAAGCAAACTGATACCTTTTCCATGAGCATCTCGTGTAGTACCATCATCATTTCGATTCTGATATCAGCTGCAAAATTCGTCTATTACTAAATGCTAGCTTTTCGAACTTCGTATCTTGGAAATAACAACTTCTATGAAAGAACACACACACACACACACACACACACACACACACACACACACACACACACACACACACACACACACACACACACACACACACACACACACACACACAGACGCACAGAGACACACTCACACACACACACACAGACGCACAGAGACACACACTCACTCACACACACACAGACAGACAGACAGACACACACACACACACACAGACAGACAGACAGACAGACAGACAGATACACACACCCACAAACACATACAGACATAGACACACAGACACAGCATAAACACAGACACAGACGGACACACAGACAGACACAGTTACACACAGACATACACACACACCCACAAACACACCCACAAACACACACAGACACATCACACATACACACACAGACACATAAACACACATAGTTCACTTCAGTACACTACATTACAATTACAGACACACGCAGTACAATCAGAGACACACACTCGATACAAAGACAGACACAGGCACAAACACACAGAGTACACTTCAGTACAATCACAGACGCAGGCACAAAGACATATACAAGAAGAGCAGATTGAAGTACCTTCATTTGCAGATGTTGACGCATTGATCTGTGGGATATGTTCTTCAGTCTGTAACTGATCATCTGCTAGAACTGTCTCATCTGGATCAACCGGAGGAGTATCTTCCGGCAGGAGTCTGAGTGGGTCTATCGGGACAGCCATGGATCGCTCTCCGTACCTTGCTGAAATAAAGACAAAGGTCAACGACGGATGTCGCATGTCAGTCCTGTAACTAAATGTGATGCAAAATAGTGAATAAATAATTTTTACATCTGAACGATTGTTCATTGATTCTTTGAATCTGTTCATTGATTCAAAGAATCAATGAACAAAAGTTCAGGATTTTACCTTCTGTTAAGCTGTTAGCACTGACTCTAGCCCCCTCTCCCTACAAAACGACCATATCTCGGGCTGGAGCTTTCAACCGTCTTGCCTCAGCAGCCATCTAGCACAGTCGACCTGTCCTGTTAATTATGTGATCATCAAGTTACCAAATTTAATCCTTCAATATTCAAATAATTGATTATCAGACCATGACTAAAACCTCTTGCTACTATTACCAATGTTAGATAAACCCATATTGTTAAGGCGGTCAAATGATTTACCTGAGTTGATCGCGTCCATGAAAGGGTTAAACTGCGCTCTGTCCAGCTTGTTAATGTCCGCTCCAGCAGCCAGCAGTGCCTCCGCCTCCGTCACTCTCCCTGCTTTGCATGGCCAGTGAAGCGTAGAGCTCCCCTCTAAGCTCTGTGACGATCCGACGAAGGATCCAGATTCCCTTCTTTTCTCTTGAGATTGCTTCAATTCTTCCTGGAGTATGCGGATTACCATTTTTATACTTCCATACAGGGCGCGTGAACAATCAGCAATGAATTATCAATTAATCAATCTAGTTTTTGAGTAAAAAGTCCACAGATTGTGATACATTGGATTTGATATTGGAAAGGACATGGCTTACCAAGTACCTTTTCATGTGCTTTTTGGAGGACAGGGATGACTTATTCCTGCGTGCCATTTCACCATAACTATCTGCTGTAACAGCAAAAATTAGAATTATGTCGGACATAATTCTAAAAAATTGGAACATTGTAGTTAATCAGTGTGGTGCTAACAACAGAGAGCGATTTGAACGGTAGGCAATTTCATAAATTTCATTAACTCGATATAAGGATGATTGGAACAGGCTAAAATCTACAATGTGGCATTAATAACTGGCTATATCGCTGCATTAAACGATTAAAGTATTGCTAACTATGGATATTCTAAGTGATCTAGGCAGAGGGGAACCGGCACAGCCAGATTGCGTTGTCTTCACTTTCAGTGACTAAGTTTCACGATAGAAAAATTGACCTTATGTATTTTTTAAAAAGGATGCACAGTTCAAGCAATAAATCGATCGGCTGCTCATATGATATTTGCATTTAAAGGAGGGCCCAGTGCAGTGACCAGTAAGTCTGTTAAGGCAACATTTAGATCTGAGATAAGCTGAGTCTTGACAAAGATAAGTGAGTTTCGAGAAAGTGCACACGGATAAAGTTATCAAGTGACAATGATAAGACTAACAACTGACAGCACTGAGCAAGTGAACTGGAAAATTGAGGAACGAAAATAACAGTGGTTGTCAGCCCTTTCCGTAGCAATCAGGATTTCCCACGAGATCGATCAGGCAATCAGGATTTCCCACGAGAATGCTCGAGCCAACGCGCGCACTTGTGTCACGTGACGGCCACGTGACGCTCTAATCGTTGTCACGTGGTACAGAAGGGAGGTTCCTAGAGCGTCGATCTCGACAAGAGGGAGTTTCTCACGGTTTATCTTCAATAACTATCGCTATTTTTATAGTAGAGAGTTGAAACTTTCACCAAATGTTTCCCTAGACATTTCTGCATGGTAACTGTGTCATAGAATTTTAATTTGGGGACCCAATTTTGTGCAACACTCCGGTATCTGACGACCGGTCGCGGACGTGGTTATTGTATTGTCAACTTCTATTGCACACTGAGCGAGCTATATTTTGAGTACAAAGATAAACTTTACACCAGGTGAAAGCTGAGACGTTTCTCTTTAAAATGATCACCTCACATTCTGTGTATCTGTGACATTGAGATAGTAACGAATCAAAACGTCAAGTTGAACAGGCTACAAAATACGCGCTGAATAAAAGTCCACCCCAGGAGTCCATCCCACGCGCGTAGGGTGATTAAGATTGGACAAAAAATGACTCAGTTATGAGCTAAAAACTATATGCCCATATTTGGGCATACGCACTAAATTTGATCGATTTTGCCCATAAATTGGTCAAATATAAATATTTTTGAATGAAACTAACTTTATATGAAAGGTAAGCCCAAACTACACATTCTCTATGATTATCAGCTCAATATCTACCTAACTGTGGATTCTGTGTTCAAATAATCGCAAAAAATGAACAAAATCGCCCATATCTCAGTTCGCGATATTTGCAAAACTGACTTCGCTCAAAACAATAGAACTCAATAGGGTTTCAATATTTTTTCATGAAATTTTCAGGATCAACGTAGAATTGTCTCATGACCTTAAGTTTTGGGACAGAATTTTGAGTTAGGCCTTTAAAAAAATTTGGCGGCCAAATTCTAAAATTTGCATGAGATATGGGCGATTTTGTTCATTTTTTGTGAATATTTGAACACAGAATCCACAGTTAGGTAGATATTGAGCTGATAATCATAGAGAATGTGTAGTTTGGGCTTACCTTTCATATAAAGTTAGTTTCATTCAAAAATATTTATATTTGACCAATTTATGGGCAAAATCGATCAAATTTAGTGCGTATGCCCAAATATGGGCATATAGTTTTTAGCTCATAACTCAGTCATTTTTTGTCCAATCTTGATGAAACTTCATATAAAGAGTTCAGGGGACCACTAGCTACAAGTAAAGCACCTAAAATCTGGGTTTTGGGCATGTTTAGGGTATTTGGCTAAATTGGGCCTGATTTGGACAAAATATGGGCGTGGCTGCCCCGCGGGCACCGTTTGGCGGTTGGGGTCCGGGACCCCCTCAAAAGATTGGTCACTGGTCCTAGTTTGTTGGTCAACTGCTATCTCGAAACCAAGTTTCACAAAAAATCAGGGTGAACCCCCCCCCCCCCCCCCCCTTAATACTTTACTTACTTTACACTTTACTTCAGGAGAGGTGCAGCAGGAGATATCTGTGTTCTGTGAAAAGGCTAAGCAGATGACGAAGGAGGAGTGGGAGATAGAACAACAACCCATTCTCAATGTTAGTGTTTACTTCTGTGAACCACTTTGTTTATAATATATAAGTAGGAAGAACCTTATCGTATTATTTGAGGGTCAGTTTTCATATATTCTAGAAATCACAGATTTGTTATGACAAGTTATAGCCGCGCCGGTTTAAAACACTGAGAAGAAAGTCAGAAAGTTGTCATCCCAAGAAAGTTTATTACTCTGTGCACCTGCAAATTCTTATCCAATTTGCCCGTGCGGTCACATATACACACACAACTCATGTACACAGACATCTCTGTTACTAATTAACTAATTATGCGTTAATTGTTGTTAATTAGCTGTTACCCTCAGACGTTTAAGAGAATTATGGAGATAGCAGACGAAAAGGTTTCTCTGTCGACTCAGCTACATGCCTCGGTTTGTACTTTGTTTATATGTCTGATGTTGTTATTACACAACGATTAATAATAACAACATCAGTGATCACAGTTATCAACACCACCACAAATTGACTACAACATCATGTAGAATCTAGATTTGTAGATTTGAAACTATTTTAATTACAACTCATTGTGTCTTGTACACTGTACAGAAACACCCCCGGCCCCCTAACAGCCCTATACACAGGTGTCCAGATACCTACAGAAGCTGGAGAAGGAGCTGGGTAAGTTCAAGGCAGAACTAGAGGCTGACAGTGAGGGTATTACTGACGTGTTGGAACAGATGGCTATGAAAGAGGTGGGTTTGCGGAGGAGGTTACAAATTCGACAAATTTTACCCCATTTCCCCCCAACCCTGACAAAATCCTGAAATAGAAAAATTTTAAGAACAAAATAAAATATGAAAGAATTTAATCTTTCAGCCTGAACCCCCTGACTCTCCCAAACCCCTGAAAAAGAAGTCCACTACAACGTACGATGCTAACTCTTTTGATAACTTCTCTGACTACGAGGTTGATGGAGCTGGAACAGGTAACTTAGTAACTTAGCAACTTAGTAACTTATTAACTTATTAACTTAGTAACAGGTACCATAGTATTAGTGTGGGCTTAATGAGTTCAAAAACAGTCTCCACTAGGCCACCAGTCTTATCTTCAGTTTCTAAATGATAACCCACACCACCATCTTTAACCATCTTTAAGTAACCAACTTCAATAGGTCTCTCCCAGAACCTGGATCAAAACAGCTATATTTACACTTTTTCAGGTTTGGAGGGTCTGGATGATTACAGAATGTTGTACGAAGATATCAACAACGAAACAAACTCTCCTCAATCAGTGGTAATATACCCCCACCCCCAATCACTAATCAGTGGTAATATACCCCCACCCCCAATCTCCTTATTGAAATGTCAGTATTCTAACACTTAGTATTATAATATCGATTATAACTAACATGAAATCAAACTGTAAATTGTGCAGGTGTCCGATTTGTCTACAGACCTAATGCACTACGTACGAAAGAGGAAAAGAGATCACGACACAGCATCCACCTCTAACTCCCTACCCATCACTCCTACTACTGAAATAGCCAGTATGAACACCACCATCAAGGTTAGTCTGACGTCAAAAAGTGTGGTGTGACGTCACGAAGTGTGGTGTGACGTCACGAAGTGTGGTGTGACGTCACAAATGCAGTGAGACGTCATGAAGTGTTATGTGACATCACGAACTGTGGTTCGACCTCACGAAGTGTAGTGTGATGACACAATTATTTATTTGGAGACCTAGACAACTCAAAATAAATATTTATTTTGTAATTCTTTGCGCAGCCTGAAGACCCCCACCCCTGGATACCCCCCCCCCCCCCCCTGGAGACCTCCCCCCCCCCCCCCCTGAAGACCCCCCCCCCCCCCCTGGAGACTGTATTCTCTGATAGGAACCTCACTTCCTAACACCGTTAAATGCTATTCCTAAATTTACCATTCTTAACAAAACTTTCACCTCAGACCCAGAATCTGAACCACCCGCCTATAAAGAGGAAACGTCCGGCCATGTTCGGACCAGGGACCGGTAATCCGTGTCCGCCGGAGGGGCTGGCTCAGACTATTAACGGAAATCAGCTGCGGTCTGTTTACTTTTATTTACATTTATATAGTTTTTATTGATTGCTGTTCGTCAAGTATTTTCCTGTTTAGCTTTTAGAAATATGATTTTGGGGTCGGATTTTGAAATTTGTTTGTGATATATTTTAAACGGTTTAAAACATAGGAAGCCAATTATAATTTGTTGGCAGGTTGAACAAGAAGTTAGAGTACCAGTCCTCTCAAGAGGTGTTTGAAGTAGACTGGCAATATGTTGATCCTAACGAACCCAGATATTGCATTTGTAACCAGGTCTGTCTGTCTGTCTGTCTGTCTGTCTGTCTGTCTGTCTGTCTGTCTGTCTGTCTGTCTGTCTGTCTGTCTGTCTGTCTGTCTGTCTGTCTGTATGTCTGTCTGTCTGTCTGTCTGTCTGTCTGTCTGTCTGTCTGTCTGTCTGTCTGTCTGTCTGTCTGTCTGTCTGTCTGTCTGTCTGTCTGTCTGTCTGTCTGTCTGTCTGCTCAATCTGTCTGTCTGCTCAATCTGCCTGTTTGTATCTCTATATCTCTGTATCTCTGTATCTCTATATATCTCTTTGTCTCCTTCATGCTCGTGTGTACATTGTGTGATACCACATGACACCCCCTAACACCAGGTATCGTATGGTGACATGGTAGGATGTGATAATCCCAGCTGTCCAATAGAGTGGTTCCATTACCCGTGTGTGGAGCTGAGTGACGCTCCCAAAGGAAAGTGGTACTGTCCTCAGTGCCGAGAGGAGAGTCTTAAGAGGAAGAAATGAAGAGGACAGTGGTGAGACAGAGTTACATGGAATACTTATCCATGAATTTTATCGGATAGAGTTTTTGAAGCAGATTAGTTAATTTCGATAGCAGAAGGCAGGCTGATTGAATTTTAAGAAGTTGGTGCTATACTATATACTAGTTGAGGTGGTACAGTTTTTAAAGTAGATATTTTAAGTATAAGGGGGAAAGTGGTGTGGTGCACTAAAATTCAGTGGGTTTCAGTGTTGAGGAATGTTTGATTAATTTAAATGGTAATGCTGATGGTGTATTATGTTATCGTGTCCTTTCTGTATAGGTTTTGCTGAGCCAAACTAGTTATCAAACTAGTAATGTTTTATTATTATTTGATACTTGAATTTGATATATGGACCCTTTTAACTTGTTTTATTCGACAATGTATTCAAACTATGTTTCTGAAAAATGGAAAAGAAAGAAGAATTCAAAACATGAATATTGCGAAACAATAATACAGTAACAAGTTTTATTCAACAAGCTGTTATCTTATACGAATATATAAGTTTTATCTTAAAAGTGATGTTATCAAACTTCAATATATTAATATTATCTAAAAACTCTATAACACGTGTTACTAACTCCATAACACGTGTACAGCATGTGGTACCACGTGTTACTGCCAGCTGGTTCGATAGTTGGACTCTATTACGGAGCTACAAGGTTCCTCATTCTCAAGGATTACCACCGCTTCGGTAAGTCATCCTACTTGTCAAGTGATTTTACTTTAATGTGATGATCAATGATAGAGCTGATTTTTAACACATAACACGTATTTGTAGTGTCACGTTGTTTTATGACGTCATGTTGTGTTATGACGTCACGTTGTATCATGACGTCACGTGGTATGATAACTTTACCTCTCCCCAGGAAAGAGTTTCCCGGATAATGACAGATCGGAGATGGGATGGGTAACCAGAGGCAGAGATTTCAGGATTACCGGCAGGCCCCTCGGTCAAAAGGTTTCACTAAATATTTATTGTCGTTGCGTATATTGACTATTGTTAGTTGGCCCATTAAGTCATTAGCAATACTATTGAACTTAATTATAGCTTCAGTTCTAGGTTCGGTCCTGTTATGTTTAGTTGCACCGCTCAAAATTTTAAGATTAGTTCATTGGAGCCGCGTAACCGAACTGAATCTGCTAAACATTAAGCAGCGTAACCATATTATGAATATTCAACTTGAATATCTGCAATATCCCGTAGTTGTTCTACATATCCCATACATTGAAACAATTTCAGCTGTACGACTACGAACATTAGTATTGTGTTAAGGAGACACCAGCAGCCATCGGAGATATGTACACAGTGATAGCCCAGCCCTTCACCCCCGCTACGTGAATTTTAAATCTGCTATAATGATAATTATGGATCATCATTCATTATGCGTTGAATAAATTTGCAGAGATTTAATTTAAGCTTTTTTACGTTGTCCTATACTTCGAGTAATATTAAATTAATGAGAATTAGTAGACTATACTTTGTACTGGATGTTTATCGTATAATCCTCTGATCCTATGTCGAACTGTTATAGACGGTATATGGTATTAGACCCATGTCGTGGAATGTTTTCTAAGTTTCTAATTGAGCTCTAGATGTAAATAGCTAGGATGGCCAAGTTATTAAGTTAAGTTATTCATTCTAATTGGTATTACGTATTACATAAATATCTTTATTTTTAAAATGTTTTGTGCTCGAAAACGGCTTTAACATTTCTGGATACTGAATTTGAATTATTACTTGTCACTTGTGGTAGGGGGTTGTGGTACCATAGATAATGACCGAATCTATTATTTTTTCGGAACACGTAAGAATTTATTATGAAACTTGCTGGACTTTGGCTCGCTTATATCACGACATGACACAAATTTAACAGATTGGATGAGATTTTTGCCCAGAAATCAATTAGTCAGTTAATTGATGATGGTACGAATCCAAATTGGGGTAATGGAAGTCAAAATCTCGAAAAAAATTGGAAGATCATACTGTCCCATACTCTGTCCCATTTTCAGTTTTTGAAGCTGAAATTTCAAGGGCCGAAATTTTACAGTTTTGACCAAATTTCTGACCCGCAACCAATTAGTCGGTCAACTGTCGATGGCAAATGACATGATTGAGGTGCTAGAAGTTTTATTTCGCTCGGAGGAAGCTCACAGCAGAAAGTTTAACAAAACGAAATTAAAACTTGTATTTTCAAAATTCTGTCCCATTTTCGGCTCTTACTAATTCGCTCGCCCAAAAATTTCACTTTTTTTTTTTTTTAATCAATAAACTTTCAAATTGTTACACAAATACATCATTTTATTTCAAAGAAAATATCGCCGAATGACCTTACATGCCTTGACAAGTGACCGAGTGTAAACAAAATAAGGGACACCGAAACACCAGTTGACCAGTAAACTGATCATAGCAATTACATCGGGCCCTAAATGCACCTATAAGTGAAGCGATGCTGCAACCAAGGCATGCTAGGTTTATTCCATTGAACTAATAAGGTTACAGCCTAAAATATAAATATAATAAATAACAATGTACCATAAATCATAATTATAAACACACTTTATTTAACATATTTTATTAATTATACTTCATATCAATTTATATTTAGACAATATAGTTACATTAAGGTAAATTGTTTAACTGTCAGAGGATGTTATATGGTCGTTTAGAACTGTCCAGAGGTACTTAATTAAATGGGTTTTAAACACGGATGGCCTTGAGATTTCCCTTAATTCATAAGGGAGTTTATTCCAAAGAATGTGTGCTCTGTAAAAGTAAGACTTAGATATGCCTGAACATCTGGTCTGGCTTGACGTAAGGTTTTGTGGAACTTGAGGAGAAATGTCACTAATCATACTGAGATCGTCTAGATGTGATCGCCTTAACCTACTTCCCATGAAACGTCGTAAGTAAGGTGGAAATGTCACAACTGACATGTCATAAAAAATATTATGAAAATATAATATATCCTTGTAATCAAACCTTACCGAGAGTGTAAGGATATTTAGTTCCTTACACGCTATGAAATACCTTTTTTTGTCCCTAAGGCTCAAGTAAATATCATTAAGGATCCACTTGATACCTCTTTTTTGTATCGATTCAAGTTTCTCCACCGAGGTTTCTGAATGAGGCCGCCAGACAATTGTGCAGTGTTCGAAATGACTTCTAACCTGAGATAGATAGAAGGCCCGACGTTTTTTAGTGTTCTTGGTGAAGTAACATGTTCTTTTTAGAAGGCCTAACCTCTGACTAGCCTTAGAGTATATCATATCACAGTGATGTGACCAATCTAACTTACTATTGATATGAACTCCAAGATCTTTTACAATGTCTGTGTATTCGATAGCCGTTTCATTCATTGAGTACACAAAATTAACACTACGATTCATAGAATATGCTCGGGTAATAGAAAGAACGTGACTTTTTGAAGGGTGAAACACCATCTTATTATGATGAGCCCAATTTTGAAGACTGTTAATATCCCGCTGGAGCAGCCAATGGTCATCCTGGGACGTGATTCTACGCCATATTTTTGTATCATCAGCATACATGGTTATATTTGTTTCCGGTGACAAATCCTCTGTAATGTCATTAAGAAAAAGTATAAATAAAGAGGCCCTAAAATTGAGCCCTGGGGGACACCTGATCTAACCTGACAGGGAGCAGACATTTTATTTCCAATGACAACCCTTTGGTATCTGTTTTCAAGGTAGCACTTGAAGAATCTCAGTAGAGATGCATCAATGTTATATTGTTCTTTGAGCTTCAACAGAATTATGTCGTGGTTGACAGAATCAAAAGCTTTTTGGAAATCAAAGTATATTATGTCAGTGCGAACATTGTCATTGAGAGATAGGGCTAAGCTGTCACAGAAATTTACTAGCTGAGTTGTACATGATTTCCTACTCATAAAACCATGTTGACGTTGATCAATAAGATGTTCACATCGATTGAGCAATTCATCCCGGATTACTTTTTCGTAAACTTTCATAATAATGCTTGTCAGAGAAATTGGCCTATAGTTGTTAACTTCAATTTTAGAGCCTTTTTTATGAACTGGAACAACGTTTGCCATTTTCCAATCTGCTGGAATACATCCAGTTTTATAAGAAGCTTCAAAAAGGATAGCAAGAGGCTTAGACAGGCTCACTGAACAGTACTTTAAAATTCTTCCATGGATATTGTCGGCCCCTTGCGCTTTAATTGGATCAATATTTTCAAGTAAACCTTTGATTTTACAAGTGTCGAAATTGACCTGAAAATCACGGTCACTGGAAAAGTCGATATCTATATCATAATCACTACCCTCTGTAAACTGTTCGTTAAAATATTTATTGAATAACTCACACTGTCCTTGCGGATCGGACCGTAGGCAACCATTGTAGCTGACTGTTTTAGGAATGCGATTAGAGTTTGATTTAGATTTCACAAAAGACCAGAACTTTTTGTTAATGAGATTTCTGTTATCATCATCTTCAAAGTTTGCGTCCAATTTTGCATCAACGAGATTTTTAAAATCCCTCCTAGCTTTGGAAAATTTTAAATATTTTTTTGGATTAGAAGACTGTTTCCATTCGTCATGTAGTCGCTCCTTTTTTCTACATAAATCAAAGACATCTGAGTCAAACCATGGGGGTTGAAATTCATCGGAGACAGATATCTTAGGAATATGTGAATTACAATGAGAAGTGAAAATAGTATTGAAAACTGACCAGGCCTCTTCGACTGGTTTACCACTAAGTAGATGTTCCCAGTTTTCAGAATTCAGTGCATTATTTAAATTGGTCCAATTGGCCCTTTTGAAGCTATAGATTTTTCGTTTGGTAGACTTTTTCTTTCTAGCGTTAAGTCTTATGTCAAATCTTATCGCATAGTGATCCGACCCACAAATACCATGTTTACTGTCAACAATTAAGTCTGATATAATTTCTGGCTTATCCGTCAAAACTACATCTAGAACATTTCCCCTGTAATGTGTAGGGTCTGTTACCAGCTGCTGTAAAGATAAATCATTAAACGTATCAATGAATGCTTGTTCAATAGGAACAGAGGAGGAGCCCTCATCCCATCTGACCTGGGGCATATTCAAATCACCAACCAAGGTAATGCTCTGTACTCTTCTACGCCTACGGATGTTATGTAGGTATTGCTTGACTCTATCATGGTTATCATTGCCAAGTGTGCCAACTTTGTAGAACGAGCTTAATATGGATTTTCTTCCTAACTTGTCAGAAAGCTCAATACTCAAAATCTCGGCTCTACATTTGACAGGAATGATTTTAGATTCTATGTCAAGACAATGTTTTATGGCAATAAGGACACCACCCCAATTTCCGACTATTCTGGGGGTCCGGGGGATGAGTAAAGCTAGAACGGTCAAGTCTAAATACTTTGTAATCAGCTGTCGAGATGATTTCACTATCATGGATATTGTCCTTTAACCATGTTTCATTATAAACTAAAATATCTGGTTTATTGATATAAATAAAATGGTTTAGTTCGTGAATTTTTGTAGAGTGGAGAGTGGGATTTGCATCTCCAAGTTCACCAAAAGGGATCAAGCCCTGAACGTTACAATAAAAAACTGAGCAGTTTCCCGGGGGTCCTGGATTTTTCATGCTAGGGTTACAAATAAAGATAAGGAGAAAGTTTATGAGTAGTATCCAAAGGTAAAGTGATGCAGTTATATTTTGTAGATATGGGATTAAGCCTCGTTTGGGATTGTATTTAACAAACAACGTATGTAGTGTTTTACCTCTAATAGATAAGCTACTCATTGTACGTCTAATTGCAATACCAAAGATAACAAGGTAGAAATTGCAAAGTAAATTACCAAGACTGTTAATATTTAGTAGGAGTGGAGATTTAATAAGCTGTATCAGTTTAGCAGGGTTTGTAGGTGGGTTTTCCAAAATACAGGTGGTAAAACAGAGTAACATATTTGACCAAAACCCATAATCATGGGTAGAGTGGACCGCTGCCAGTGTCTCTCTTTCCCAAACAAAAGGAAATGATATTAATTTGATTGACCGTTCTCAAATGCAAAATGATACCGAGAATGAAATCGGTCGCTCGCTTTTCCCATTCATTCACGGCTTACGAATTGTGATAAGTTTCGATTGATTAGGTACATCAATCAGATGCTGTAAAAATCTCTTTGGGTTGCGTTCGGGTCGATACCTAGTATTTCGGGGTAAGGGTGGTAGTTATTACATATTGAATTAGCTGAAGTTTATTGAATCGTTATTGCTGAGTACAGCTGCCTTTGGGTAGTTCTTCTTAATCTATTACAATTGTAAATGAATGGGAAAAGCGAGCGACCGATTTCATTCTCGGTATCATTTTGCATTTGAGAACGGTCAATCAAATTAATATCATTTCCTTTTGTTTGGGAAAGAGAGACACTGGCAGCGGTCCACTCTACCCATGATTATGGGTTTTGGTCAAATATCATCTCTTTTTGATTATAATGTCAGGGTACTTTATAAAGTCGAAATATAAACTGATATCTTCATTAATAAGGAGGAAGTTTCAACAATTTCGAAATTTTTCCTTTAAAAACATTTCTTTGTGTTTAGGTAAGCATAGCGGTCGATCACTGACTGAATATGCCACTTAATACTCATTCAAGTTGGCATTAAATTCATTTATAATGACATTAAACTGTCGTGGCAAAGCAGAATTTGTTGGAAATCACAAATGAGCAAAATTCTCACCTTTCGCACGT